TTTTTTTTTTTTTTTTTTTTTTTTTTATATTGAACAATGTGTTCAATTTATATATTAATATATTAGATACATTTTGTGCTTAGGATTAATGTAGATATTAATACTAAGCCACATACAGTTTGCTCAACTAATATTTTTGTGTGCGTTTATCATGCAATTTAATATAAATCTTTATAAACTTTTATTATATATGCATGTTCAAAAAATTTAATTTCAATTTTTGGAGTTCAAGATATGACGAGAGACAAAATTTATAGAATGCATAAATAGCCATGGCACTGAATCATTAACATATTTTTATCATTAAACATTGTTATTATCATTAACATTATTACTATCTATTATTACTATTGCTGCGTACATTTTGATTCGCTCATAATGCAAATTATTAATCTTAAATTTAATTATACAACTGTAACGCAGTCAAGCCGCAAACACGATACAATCGAAGTTTAAAATCGTTTAATATCGAAATATATCGATATTCTGTACCTATTGTAAGGCAACTTCGATTGAAATTTATTCATCATATTCAATAATCGACAATCTATCTAAAATTGTAACCTAATCATTTGGTAATAACTTCAGTAAAAACATGTTTGTACACTAAATATGCATCAACATTAATATTACATCAGTACTATTTCGATTTTTCTTGTTTTTCTTCTTTTTCATTTTAAATTTTACAAAAATTTACAATTCAATCGTGACTAGATTTATTTAGACTATATAATAGCCTTTTTCATATAAAATATGAATAATATAAGATATACTAAGCCTTAAAGAAATTTTTTCCAGAAAAAGCTTTTCATAATTTCATTTGCAAAAAATATAATATTGCATTGATAGCACCAGATACATTTTTAATATTAATTTCTGCATTTAATTTTTTTTCCTATCTAAGATAAGTGGTGAACAATAAATTTTACAAATGTAAGAATTTATATTGTTACATGAATGATATGTACTGTTTAACCATTTGAAGCATAATTAGCTATTGATATAAAGTTTCTTTTATATTTAAATAGAAAATCTTTTATAAAAAATTAAAAAAACGAGTTGAAGTAATTTTCGTATTACTCGTGTATGCTTCAAAAGGTTAAAGTAGTATATTATCTTACTATATGTATGAAAAAAATGAGATCAATATTATTAACAATAAATTAATTTTACATATGAAAAAATTAAAAAAAAATAAAAGATCTTTGGTTTAAAAATAAATAACATAAAAATAATAAAATTATATTAATACATTTGAGTCCGATGATATATACATAATATATTACATAAATTTCGTCTCTATTAGCTGATAACATAAAAATTGATCGCGTTATTGTTTTTTTTTTCAAATTACAAATTCTTTTAATGATAAGTAAAATAAGCTATCTAAAATATAAAATAATACTATTATTAAACAGTTTCTGTTTAAATAAAAAATGTTAAAATAATGATCTCAAAATGAATAATAATGAAGTAGGATAAATTATACTTATGCAAAGATGTAAATTTTATATTAAAAATTTTAAAAAAGTAAAAAATATTTGCAATATCTATAATAAAAAATCTAGATTTAAATAAGTATTTCAAGTAAATTAAAGTATAGTAAAATGTTTATTACTAAGAGATATAATTTTCTTATGTTATATGAATGATTTATATTTATGTTTATTATTAATTTTAATAATTTTTAATGTTTTTAAAATATAAACATAATGTAATTATTTTACTTATATGAATCTATAATAAATCGATGGCTATATATATAAAAAATGATTTCATATAGAGAGAATAGATTATAAGTCATTTTTTAAATAAAAATATTAAATATTTATATCATTCTTATATAACTTATTTTTTATTAAAACTATAAAAACATAGTCAGCTATTAGAGACAGTCTTATCGAAATACATCGGATCCGAACGTGATTAAAAATTATGAAAATTAATAGGAATAAAGTTATTGTCTTTTGAAAGTCGAATAAAATCAAAATAAAAATTCAAATTCATCAGAATAAAATAGAATTAATCAGAATAAACAGAGAAAAAAATCCAATATATTAATATCCGCATTATCTTCAAAAAACCATAGATAAAAAACCAAGAATAGAAACGAAATATTTTTTATGCGTAAAATTTATATACATATGCATAATGTAGAAAATCTTCTTTCAATTGAATCATTGGCGTTTTTTTTTAAATAATAAACTATAAATAATATAGTAGGGCAATATATACCTTTTTTTAAAATTCTATATTAATTAAATTATATATTATATTACATATATTTATATATATATATATATCTTGAAACAATATAAATATATCTTTATATTGTTTCAACAATACAAATATTGAAACAGTAGAATCTTTTTTTTTGTTTTCTAGAAGTATTTTATATATGTTAATTCCGTTGTGTACTCTTTTTTGTAATACAAAAATACAAATAATCCCAATTAATTATAAATGCATTATTTATCAACTAGCATTAGTCCATTCTCCCGTTTCCTTTAACGCTCTATCCGTTAATCTTTCTATTTCAGTCAAAAGCTGTTCAGTCTCTAAATCAACACATACCATATCCGCTTCTACCGGATCCCATTCTAAACTATTTGGTGTTGATACTCTAGACCAAGGAGATGCTGTCAAGCTAGAGGGTTGACTATTATTGACTGATGTTTGTGTCATAGAACCATCTGTACTTTCAACTTTTTCATCATCCATAATTGGTAGAGGCATTCCTAAATATATAATAATTTTTTTTATATATCATGAATTTATATACAATTTTGTTTATCCATAATTAAAAAATTTCTTCACCTTCATGTTCCCATTCCAGATCTAATGATGAACCAGGAGTAGAAGAAACACATGCTTGTTGTTTCATTAATGTTCTTGCATCAAGAATTTGTAATGGTGTATCCAATCCAGAACTAATAAATAATTTTATTACAATTAGTTGTTGTTTTGCAGTAATTCATATAGGAATAATTCATATAAGATTAGTTTATATAATTATTGCACCTTGTAGAAGCATCATTCTTAGAGTTTAATCTGGCATATTTATTAGTTTTACCCTTTGACCATGCTCCATCTTCTAATAATTCCAATGTTACAGGGATTCCATTTTTTTTCTACAAATATATTACAAACATTGAAAACTTTATCTTTATAACAAAAATATAATGATTAAATATAAGCATTCAATATTTTAATTAAAATCATTAAATTATATTTAATAATATTTATATATTAATAATATTTATTAATAATTTTAATATTAATAATTATAATTAATAATATTATATATATATTATATTTAATAACAGATTTATTATATTCAATAAAATATATAAAAATTTTGATAAATTAATTTGTTTACCTTAAATCGGTTTAAGGAGAGAAATGATAACAGGCTATCCAGAAAGCATAACAATGAAGCATATAATTAATATAATATAATTGAAACATTGCCCTAAAGCTTATTATAATTCCTTACGTTTTTGATCCTCTAGATTGATCTGTACCTCCTTTGTCATCTATAAACTATAAAAAAATTATTCTATATATTAATATAAATTATTAAAATTATAATATATAGCACAACATTATATCTACCTCAACTTGTTCGTCTCCTTGGTAGGACATACTGGTATGTCTTTGATAAAACCTTAAATTTAGATATATATTGAATTAAAAATGAAAAATACATATAAAATTATAAAAAGACATAGATATAATATTCATCAAAGAATTTATATAGACGAAAAAAATAATATATGGATAAAAATGAACAAATTAAAATATTTCAATGAATAATTTTTATTTTAAAATAATATTTCTAACCTGTATGACAAGGAGTCTGTAACTTTGGAAATACAGCGGCCGAAACAGGCCCCCATGACCTGTTAACACACGGCGTATCGCCGTCATCTAACCGATATAAGCGTCCAAATATCGATATTTAATTTTCACGTGATACGTGAAGGATAATGGGAACAAAAAGTTATCCTTCATAGAAAAATATGAAAATATCAAACACGATTCATCTCTTCCAAATACAATATATCGTAGATTTGAGCATCTGTCAATCGCATACTTGAATGCACTCTTGTTCGCTGCAGTTTTGTTTGATACGCTTGCGTTAAAAACAAGTTCGCCAACATTTGGAATAAAGAAAAATCCTGAAAACAGAAGGAAAGTTTAAATAAATTATTTTTTACTTATATATAAGTGTAAAAAATCAAACATCTTTTTAAACACATTTATTGTACATTTATTTATTATATAGATAGTAAAAATCTATTTAAAGTTCAATCGAATTCGTTTTACTAATCATTCTAGATTAAAGTAAGCATTTCTTTACGAATTGATCGTTACAAAAGATATTAATACGATTATCATGTAACAGAAAGGTTGCATTACTTTACAGTTTTATAGTTCATGAATGAGAGAATGCATTTAGTATTTAACAGACAGTGCTGATGAAGAATTAGCTAACATTTGCAATTTTACCATGAAGAATTACTATCTGGTAATTTACAGTTAGTATCATTTAATAAAATTTTTAAAGAATTCAAGTATTCAAGTACATTTATGTATATATCTATATGTAAATTGATTAAAAATCAAAATTTTTTTAATTAAAAAAAAAATATATAGAAGCTGTCAATAATAATTATATTTATTTTTAATTTTAAATTTAGATCGAACAAGATTCACTATTGAAGTGATTTTAACAGCATGAAGAAAATACAGCAATAAATAATTCATCAAATAAAATAATTTTTCTTGATAAAAACCGATATATATTGTAAACATTCATCATGAATTCTGTAATTATATTTGCTCTAACACTTGTCATATTACTTAATGTAAAATATGGATTATTGATATCACAGCATCCAAAGTTATTAGTAGTATCATTTGATGCATTCAGGTATTTATTTTATATCATTTTATTATTATAATTTTTATATAATTGATTATTTTAATCAAATTTTTTTTTGTTTTATAGATATGATTATTTTAACAGAAACTTAACACCATTTATGAATAAATTAAGACATGAAGGCACACATGCAGATTATATGATGAATATTTTTGTTACAAAAACATTTCCCAATCATCATACAATGGCTACAGGATTATATGCAGAAACACATGGAGTTATAGATAATGAATTTTATGATGTTATTTCTGGAAATATAACAAAATATTCATATAATTTGTATCATTATGATAATAAAGTTCTTCCTATTTGGGTATGTTAAAAATTTGTGACATATATATTTATGTTTCATATAAGTCATATATATACTTTGCATAATTTTTATAACAGACTGCTAATGAAAAAGGAGGTGCACAAAGGCGAAGTGGCTCAATGATGTGGCCTGGTGGCATTTATGAATATCAAGGAATAACTCCTACATTTACACAGGTTTTTATATTTTTGATTTTAATAAATTTAAAAAATTTTTTTTTATATAATAATAAATAATAAATTTCTAACTTTTTTAGAATTTTAATGAAAATGTACCTTGGGAAGAAAGAATAGATACTTTAATATCATGGTTTATTCATCCTATACATCCAATTAATTTTGGAATATTATATATTGAAGAACCAGATTATCACGGTCATGGCATTGGAATAAAAGGACTTGAATTTGATAATATTCTTAGAAAATTAGATAATATAACTAAATATCTTCATAACAAGATAGAATACCATGGCTTAAATGATCTCAATGTTGTTCATTTGAGTGATCATGGAATGGCAACTGTTAAGTTAGATAGAATAATAGATCTAACAAAATATATTAACAGTTCTGATTATAAATTTGTGGGTACTTCACCAGGATTACATATTTTTCCTAATCCTGGTATGATAATTCATTATATAATATATATATAATTAGATGTATTTTAAATTATTTCATGTGAAAATTAAATAAAATAAATAATTTTATAGGCAAAGAAGAAACAATTTATCAAACATTAAAACAAATGGCATCAAAATTGAGAAAATTTAGAGTTTATAGAAGAGAGGAAATTCCTAAAAAATATCATTATGGAAATAATACACGTATTGGTCCTATTTTTGTTATTGCTGAAGTGGGATATGCATTTCAAAATCTTCTTGACAATATTGAGTTTTATAAAAAGAAATTTAATATTACAGGTAATTTACAATATATTTCCTCAGAATATGAATCTAATAATTCAATTATATATTAGAAATTTAAAAATATATATTAAAATTTGATCTGTATTTATGAAATATTTATTTTTAGTAAACAATGATTCAGAATTTGGTCTGCATGGTTATGATAATGAAGCTATAGAAATGCATCCTTTTTTTTTTGCAAAAGGCCCTGCATTTATGTCTAACTGCAAACTTGAACCTTTTAATAATCTAGATTTATATCCATTATTCTGTAAAATACTTGATCTTCAATGTCCTATAGTAAATGGTACTTTATCGCATTTAACCAAGTGCCTTAAAAAACATCAGCAGGATATTACAGTGATTGCTTATCGAATGATATGTAAGTAATAATTATTCATATTTCACGAATTTTATTCTTAATAATCTCAAGAATTTCTGTTAAAACTATAAAAAATTGGATATTTCATTTAAAAATAAAATTAATCTGTAAAATTGAAAACTTAAATGTAAATTTCTTATACATTTTCATTTATAAAAAAGTCCATTTATATCATAATTCATATATCTACAATAATCCATTTGTTATATACTTTTTAAATTTTATAACATTTACAAATAATATTTTTGCGTATGATATATATATATATATATATATATATATATATGATATTCAAATATATGAACATAATTCATGAGAATCGTTAAATTGTTGTCAATAACAAAATCGTTTATAATATTTACTATTTATTGTTAATTTAGTTATAGCTACCATCATATCCATGTCAATGGTTGGAGTTATAGGAGCAATAGTAATGTTCTATATGAGAAAACGACGATTGGGAGTTAGAAGTTACAGGTAAGCAAAAATATATGTCAGATATATTTTATTTTTCACATATATTCTGAAAAAAAATTATAGTTATCAATTTAAAATTATAATGTTCTTTAATTGTAGAAAATATTGAATTTCTAAATAATTTTATTTTTCGAACTGTCAGAAATTAAATTTTAAAACGCATTCTAATGATATAATATTGATATTTTGGTTTTTCAGGAGATATTATCCAGTGGATGGATAATATATAAAAAATATCGAGCAATATATGAAATTTATGAATTTTCATATTGCATATAGATAACAAACTGAATCACAAAAGTAAAGATGATATAATAATAAAAAAATAGCATAGTCATCTTCCTGATGGAGAATAAATAAATATAATTTCGTTTATCATAAATTGATCGTTTATCGTCATTTTATTGTTTTAATCCTCAGTAAAATAGTAAAATATTTGCATTTTATTCGTTTTAAATAATTAATTATTTAGTACCTATATAATACCTATAGAATTAATTCATATTATACTATACATATATATTTTTAAATTTATAATAATATGTATCATTTTGAATTAGTTTTTATTAGGAAATGTTAAATATATGAGGTATGCAAAAAATTTTAATGTTTAAACAATTATTAAAGCACAATAATAAGAATAAATTTTTTAATAAAGAACGAAAATTAAATTTCTCATTTATATGTTTATAAATTCATTATAAAAAGAGTTATTTCCTAATACTTCTTTTCCTTGTAGCATTAATATAAAAAATAACCAGATTCGACTTTTGTTTTTAGAAGAATACTGGAAGATTTGGAAGCACAATACCATTGGGATGAAAATCACGATATTGAAAATGCTACTTGCAAGTAAATTTCCAAACAATCTGTTTTCAAATTATTGCTTTTATGTTTATAAAAAAAATTACTTTTTCTTTTTACAAGTCAAAATCCATCTTGAAATTCATATCAATGTACACTGTTAATAATTTATTTCTGTTTTCAGATTAAACAATTTTCCAGATTTATTCATAATTTCATGCTACGCGAAGAATAAATATTTGTACGCATATAAAGGAAATGTTAAGTATAGGAAAACTCTGTTTCATTGTAGGTGACATATATTTTACTCATTATATGGTTAATATATTTTTATATACATATAAATGAGAAAATAATTCTGTGATAAAAGGAAAAAGAATTGATACTTTCAAATGTGAATTTTTTACAAATAATATATAGTGAATAATCATTATTAAGTCTTAGACATAAAAATTCAGTTTTCGTAATATTTCCTTGACAAAATTCTTATTTTTTTCATAATTATATTATACAAAATACAGTCATTATATCATACAAAATATTAATAATATAATATATATAAAAATCTTGTTTCTAATGATATAAAAATTCTATGAATATAAATGATATCAAAAAATTTGTTTGAAATGAAATCTTTCATAAAAGAATGATAATATGCACAGTATTATTTTAAAAATTAGCATATAATATGATTCATTCTATACATCATTTATGGAATATTTTACAAAATTCAATTTTGTAAATTTTAATTTGCAAACCAAATGTACTTATCATAATTATGCACCAATTGTATAACAATTCGTATGTAAATAAATCAATATTGTAAATAAATACTATTAACATAAAATTATCGTTTTTTTTTTAATTTTTAATTTAATTTAAAAGAAATGATAAATAATAATAATATTATCATTATTAAATGCTAATATTATATAATTAAATAATTATAATATTATCATTATAAAATGTTTCAAAATTCTATTTCATAATATATTTATTAATAAATGAATCAGATTTATGTCATCATTAATATTTTATTTAATGTTTATTTAATGATATATTTTATTTAATGATATGAATATAATTAATTGATAAAGTTAAAAAATTTTGAATTGCATAAGAATTCTAACTCTTGTTATTCTATCAAATAATTAGCTAGAAAAAATTAAATTAAATAATAAAATAAAATTGCTGGAAAATTATAATAATATATATATATATCAAAATGATATATATATCAAAATGATAAACTCAAATAATTTCATTATCTTAATATGCATTAACATTTTTTAATATTTAATTTGAAATCATAATCTTTGAATGTTTAAAAAAAATATTAAATATTAAAAATATTTAATTACTATAAATTAAAATAATATACGTAATAAAGATTGATATTTATTCATTGATGACTAAAATTCCTAATTGAGTTTGACATTATACTTACATTGAATTTTTTTCTTTCAATTTATTTTGAAAATAGAATTATTATGAATAATTATTTTCACAAAAAAAAAATAATAAATCATATATGATGAAATCGTAAAGAAAAGATAAATTATCAATAGTAAAATAATTAATCATAGAAAATAGATAATACAGATATCGAAAATTTCATGTAACGAAATATAGAATACAAAATATAGAACTTCCACTATTATTAAAAATAATTTATAACAATATATTATTAAAAATAATTTTTTGATCATGATTTTTATATCAAAGCAATTATATATAATTGAGCAACTCGAAACTATTTCAGCGAAACGAGTGTAATTATTTGATATAACTTCATTATGACTTATATTGTGGAAAATACGTAATAACTTTGTCCTTGTTGGAAGTGGCAATCATCATGGAAAGATCAAATTATTCAGGAAATACCCAAAAATATCTATAATAAATAAATAATATGTCTATTAATCATATTTATAATTTCCATGATTTTATTATAAGTAGTAGAAAATAATAGAACACATTTGAAATTACAGGCATTGAAATCTCTACGTATTTTAAATGTAAATCTTAATTATACATAATTTTTTTGTAATCTTATAAAAAATATAAAATTTTTATTTTCTTTTATTATTTTTTTTTTTATACTGCTTTTCAGAAGAATCAAAATTTGAATTTTGTCTTTCAAAAAATTTAAAAGTTATATTAATAATCATTGATCAATTGATCAATTTTAATTTTTTTCGAGCTTGTAACTTTCAATGAATATGTTTTATAAATTTTAATACATTGAATCTGCAAGCCATTTTTTTCTAGAAAAAATTGCAATTTTTCAACTTTGAACGTGTTTTATAATTTTATAATAATAGTTATTTATTCAATTACTTTTGAAATGAATGAAATGATTCTGAATTCTGCTAAAAATAATATAAATAATTTTGACTATAAATATATTTAAATAATATTATTTAAATAACGATCAAAATTAAAAATGCCAAAATATTTATTTATTTTTGCTGATATTTTTCAATTTATTTCAAAAATTAAAGATCTAGAAGAAAATTTAATATCATGCAATAGAATTGATTTTTTTCCTAAAAAAAGCATCAAGAAAAGTTATAAAATTATTTTTATTTTCAATATATAATCCAAATAGTTTATTAAAATTGCATGGTGACAATAATAATAACGGTCGTCGCTAATAAAATTTTATAAATAAAATTTCAAATCCTGAATTTCCAATTTGGTATTTTGATGTGATGTTATTTTAATTATTTAAATTATTAAAAATTGTTTTTTTCTAAAATCGTTATTAAGTTATGTCATTGTTGTAACGAATGTGTGATATATATCTATGAAATAATATCTGGAATATTCCATATTTATAATTCCTTCATTTTTCTCATAGCTGAGTTAATATCTTTTTAATTTTCTAGAAATCAGCAATGCAAATATGTTGCGTGCAATGCATACGATATCTATTATTTTTTGTATGTATGTAGTAAATAATATGTATGATGTTTCAATAAAGTTTCAATAAAAAAAAAAATAACATGGTAAGATAATCGCTAAATTTGTTTAAAGTGAGAATAAAATTCTATGTAAAGGGAAAATACGAACAATATGAATAATAAGAATAATAAGAAGAGACTGAAGAAGGGATAAAAATAGGTGTTAATCTTTCTTTCTTAAGAATATAAGTATACATAGTATTGATAACCATTGCGCATGCGTAAAACATCATCATCGAAAAATAGTAAAATTTTTTAAAAGTGAGCGTATGACGGAAGACTCTCAGTCAACCGTCAAGTGTGTGGAAAGGAGGTTCGTGAAATTTATTGTGATTTGTTTTTAATAGTTATTATAAGTTAATAGTTATATCAGAAATCTATCATCTTTTGAAAAATGACCAATTGAAACAATATACGAAATATGAAACAGTACTTATCGTAAAAGCAATTTTTATGTAATACATAATATGTTCTATCTCTATTATATTGTGTTATTGTCGTTTCGTAAATTTTTAAAACGAATACTTCAAGAAAAGTGAAATTACATATAAAAAAAATTCCTTTGAATTTATTATTTATATAATTCATTTTGACATTAGAACTATAATTAATTAAAATATAAATTTTGAATGTGTTATTTTTTTTGTAATTATTAAAAATATGTTTTCATTTCAGCAAAATTAAAAATAATTTTTATTTAAATAGAAACATTTATCTTCATTATACTATTTTAAATATAATTATCTATATGTAATACATTTGAATATGTATTACAAGTCAATTGTCTATAATTCTATTGTCAAATAATTACATTTGTTTTTAGCACAATAAAGCACAATAATTTATAATGCTATTAAGTTTATAATACGATCCAAATTTCTTTTATTATCAATTTCAATATTTTTTCAATTTGACTCAATTATTTCTTATTTTAGAATAATAACCAAGTGCAAGATGTTGATTGTGTGTCTGACGTTAATTGGTCTTCTGCAACCATTAATTCACGTGGTATATGCTCAAGGTTTGTATTTCAAGTTCTTTTTTTTTTATACTTGAAATTCCTACATATTCGCGTCATGTAACCTTCGAACACTTTCAAAATTGGAAAATATACTTTTGCGAAAAATATTTATCTGTGAAAAAAGGAATTACACGTGACAACATAAAAATCGAATGAACTTGTTCGTTTCTTTTTTCGAAGTGCTAAAAATGAAAGTTAACGATTTGTAAATTTAACTTTTAACACTAAAATTATTTTTTTCTCTCAGCTGATGGAAATTTTTTTTTAAATTTATCAATATTCGAGCTATAAAATACAATATATTATTTAATAATATAGAATAACTTCAATTAAAAATCAATAATTTACATAATAAGATGCTAATATAAAGATTTATATATTCATATTCTAGAAATAAATGTCATCATCTATAAATATTTTTTAATTTCTTATTGTTATCTTTAAAATTTATTTAATTTTAAAGAAAAATATTAATAAGATATGTTATTTGAAATTTAAGTCAAAGATTCATTTTTTTTAACAAAATTATAAAATAAAAACTAGGCTTTTTCTTATACAAGATAGATTTTTTATCTAAATGATAATTAAATATTATTTCAATTG